CAGACACACGTTTTACTGTGTCTAGTAATGAAGTTAAGATGATTCTGATATTTCTGAAATATGCATTGAATGCATAAATGACAGATAGTGGAGCAGGTCCTATTAAAATGTTTTGTGCTGGAAGGTTTTGATGCTACTTTCACCTGTAAGGAAAGTTCTAACTACACGTGGAAAATCTAAGGTTGTTCTGCTTAACCTTATTTTCAATTTTTAAGCATCTTTGGTAAATGGGAAGCTTATTCTTCAGTGTGCTGTCTTTTAGCTGTGTCTGTTTTTATTCTGAAACTTACTCCTGGTGTTGGAAGCTTTTTTCAATTTGTGGTATCTTGTGTTGGCTTTTCAAAGGGCCAGATTTGGAAGAGAGATTAAGCCAGTGGATAACCTCAACTCTAGTTAGCAGTGTGTGAGACTTCATACCCATACTGGGTAACCATGGCATTTACAATGGGTTGTATTTGCCAGGCAGCAAATAAATTGCTTGATGTATTGAAAGAACCTGTACCTGAGGGATCCCACTGGCCAACTGTTTTTTTTTTAAGGTGGATTCTATTGTAATATGCAAGGAATGAACATGGGCTCTAATTTGTCAGCCAGCAACAGGAAATGCCACTGAATATAATGGCTATAGACAGAATTTTACTAGTTGAATTTTGTTATAAAATCTTTTAAATTTAGACTCTCGTTACCTGTAATAAATTTATAGCCATTGTGAATGCAGAGAAACACTTGGAAGTTTTTCTGAGCATTGTGGCACAGTATCTGAGTCCTTAGGAAATCTCTGCAGACATCCTGCTATGGAAAGTGAAATTTAGAAGTAAGCTTTCTTGGAATGCTTTTAATAAGTTTGAGTTAAATGCAAGAATATCTGCTTTCACCTTACGTTTGATAAAGTTGATGCTGAGCACTTAGATTTTTGTTTCAGATGAACATATGTTGGAGAAAAAATATTTTCATAAGTTGCAGCTCCAAGTTATCTAAAATACTGAAGAACCGGTTCTTTGCTTCAGAGAAAAAGATGATTTGTCAAAGTGAGTCTGGTTGTTAAACCATTTATGGAGGTCAGCATATCTTTTCTGGGTTCATGTGATTCTGATGAAATTGCTGTTTGAAAGTAATAGAATAATACTTTTGAGAAGTTGTGTTCATAGTGTAACAAAATAGCTATTTGAATTGCAATATATTTTTTTATCCAAAGGGTTAAATGAATGATGTGACTTACAGATTTAAAAGTATTACAACCATGAAGTTCTTTAACAATTAAATGTACTACTTCAAATTCATGTCTGTTTAAAAAAAAAAAAAAAGAAAATTGTCACTGAAGCCCTCAATTTATGCACTATCTTTTTCTTGGAGTGGGAGGGAGAAGAAATTCTTTTCTTAGCTGTCTACTTTGTTTGGACACTTTATTTTGTGGCTCAAGTGCTGTTTTGTGTGTTGGGACCAAACAGTTGTGTCAATAAAATTTTCAAGCAAGCATAACTCTTGTCCTTTTCTGAAGAAATAGAGGGGGGGAAAAAAGATAAACTGTTCTAAAGTCCTTAATTCACTCTTACTCAGTGTTTAATTATCCAGACAGAGCAGAGTGCTAACTCTGAGGCTCAATGACAATGAAAGAAATTCCTTGAGTCCATAATCTATTCTGGAGAATGAGTGTTTCAACACTTGCAGTTCTGCTATTACTAGATGCACTTAGTCATTCTTCCTGTTCCTCATCAGCATCAATTATGGCTGCTTCTTTGAAGGAACATCTTGTAAGAGTTCTGAAGGGAAAAAAGGAGCGAAGTATAAATGGAACAGATAGAAAGAAATAGATGTTCTCTTGAGTTTTAATCTCACTTTGAAATGTTAAGATAGAGATGTGATTAATGTAGTACAGATCCAACTAGTAAGACATCTTGCTGTGCAATGAAGTTATCCAGTCTTTTTGGGTAAAACAGCCTTGTCTTCTAGCTTGCTGAGGATGGTAGTTAACCAGGAGCTACAAGTTTGGCATGGAAGTTGTTTTGCTGCTTCACTAGACAGCTTTGAACAAGTAGTTAAAATATGCAACTAAATTGGATTATTACATCTCATTTTTTATGGACAGAAGTAAAGAGCTGCATGAGATCTAAGTACATTCATTAATGGAACTGACAAAAGGAATTTCTGCTAGAGTAAATGTCTGCCCCAGGTGAATGGTTGTTTGACCTCATAGGATACTTGTTCAGTCAACAGTTTTAAAGTAACTGCTTAGGTATTTAACACAACATAATTAGTGTAATAAACGCCTTTCTCCAAAAAGAGGAGTGGGAAAGTGGTAAGAACTTTATCTAAAGCATAACAAACACTACAGACAAATCGTCACTGCTCTAACTTCACTCTTTTGGTAGTTGTGAACGTTTTTATGTGAATAAAATCCTCATGCCACATTACGTGTTTAACTGCAAAAGGTGAGTTTGATTTTTGTTTTTCTTGCTGTGAATGTTCTCATCTTCATTCTCTTGTCATCTGTTTAAATCAATTAAAGTTATGATTAAATTAACTATTTCAGAATGATTTGCTTTTTTGCCTTTTAATAATGCAATTGCATGGTGAGCTGTGCTTTAACTTATTTCTCTTCATGTCTAGAAATCACAAGAGATACAGGCATAAGGTCAGAGTTGGAGATAGAGTTGGGGGCATCAGGCTTAGCTGCTGTTTCAGGTACAGTGTGGAATAATTTGGCCAAGAAATGACAGTACTGTCTGTATTCTAGACAGATTCAGGGGTTTGGTTCTGGGTGGTGCGGTGTGGATTGAACCTGAGCTGCCCAGCCTTGCTTAGCTTTGATACCCGCTTACAGAAAAGTGAATGGCCGAAGAGTGTTTGCATCAGTGAAGCCCGCTTATCAGTCTGTAACTCTGTTGGCTTCTTAATCTTGTCAATTTCTTCTGCCTTGCACTTGAAAAGCAATGTGTCTTTGCAACTAAACTTTTGCAATTGGAATACTTTATTTCTTTTGTGCCTTTGAAAACTAGAGGTCAGTTCTGGCTTTGAATGACTTCAATGCTTGGCCCAGTTCAGGGTACTGTGTGCCCATTGAAGGGTGCTGATGTACTCAAGTCAACGTTTTACTGATGTGTGTGTGTGTGTGTGTGTGTGTGTGTGTGTGTGTGTGTGTATATGTAATATGGTGTGCTACATTGTGCAAATGTGTGCAGCTGAGGTAACTAGAGATCTTACTCTTCTACAGTGTTGTAGTATTTGTTGAGAGGATGTGGTACAATGCCAAATCCTTTCCAGCATGCACTGCTACAGTGAATGTAGTATTCTTGTACGGACTGTGTTCATGTTTAGAATCATGTGAATGGAGGAAGTAAAACTTAAATCTGAATAAAAAGAGCTTTTTTTTATGTAGGAAGCAAACAGTGATACTTGAAGGTATTATTTCTGAGCATTTCGTGTAGAGTAAGAAATGCTCCCTATAAGAAAAATCTGTTAAGACCCTTCTTAGTTTCTCTACTAATCCAGCCTAGAATACTTATCTAATGGAAAGCATGTTTTCCTTTTAGTTAATTTCTACTGATGTTGCATTTATTTTCCTTACTGATTTAATCAGTTTAGCTGTAAGCAGTCAGAAGCCTGATAATGCAGGTTGTACTTAGAACTGTTGGAAGTACAGATACCTTTATCTGAATAGGTCTTTAAATTTAAGCTGAAGTGTGAGGGCAGAACTCTCAGACAAGGGCTGAAATTTTTGCCAGCAGATTTGGGATAATGAGGTCATTCTGCAGCAAGACCTAGCAGCACCTTATTGGATTGCAGATTAGTGACTTTTTAAGAGTAGTATAAACACAACGTGTGAAAGGAATTCAGAGAGAAGCTTTAAAGTTGAAGTTCTTTGAACCTTCAAATTCCTCTCAAATACATTCATGATCAGAAACACGTATTAACAGTTTGCCAGTGAGACTAATTTCCAGCTAGAACCAAATAGTTCTGTTCTCAGCTAGAACTTTCAGTCTTACCCACTGTAAGAAGTCTGAAATCCCTCAAGTTTTGCTGCCAAGAGTTAACTCTGGCTATTCATTAGCTGCCTTTGAAATTCAAGTCAAAACTAGCTGCTTCAGAGTTGGGACCATGTCTCTGAGGGTGCAATTCTATATCTCATGTAGAATGAGCTCTAACTCATTTGAAGCAGTAGACTTCAGTCAGCTGTAAGTGCTTTGTAGTGCCAATAGCATGGCTTTAGATCAAACTGAGTAGAATATTGGGAGAACTGTTCTCCTTAACTGTCTGCACAGCTGCAAATGGAAGTGTGCTCTTATGTCTGTGTGAGAGGGCATGAAGTGTGACGAAAAACTGAATCTCACGTGAACTTAGCCACCCACGAAGGTGAAGGCGTGCCCGAGTACTTCCAGCCCTGCAGATCGGCCTGCAGCTGTATGGGACGTGATGCTGGTGTATGCAGTGTTCTTGAAAAATAAGTAAACTACTACTGTTTCTTTTTGGAGGATGAGGGGAAATGTTCCTGAAAGAACTTGGGAACTCGTGTCTTGGGTAACAAGTCGTGAGTAACCTGCAGTCATTGGGACAGTCAGGCAGAGGAAGTCTGGATGGTACAATCTCTCTCCCCATGTATTGCTGGTTTTGAGCAGACGTTCCTCAGTTGGGCTGCAGGGTTATGTTCAAAGCTTTCTGTTGAGCTGAACTGGATTTTGTTGGAATGATACCCAGTTCTATTGGGACAGTTATTTTTCCAAATGCTTGGAGCTCTAGGCTGCTGTGAGGTTTTGAAGCTGTCTGGGACAGGCACGACACTGACTAACTATTTGCTTTCCTGTGGGGCCTGCTGGAGGAACTTTTTTTTTTTCTCAGTAAGAACCATTTCATTTGCAGTACTAACTTAGCAAATCCTTTTTCTTGCAGAACAGTAATCCTTGTTTTGCAAAGTGCAGCGTGGTGAATGCATCCCACTGTAACCCACAACCACCTCCTTCAGTATTAAGAACAAAACAACACATGCTTAGTATAATACAGCAGCTTAGTTTATTTGGAAATACATTTAACTTTGCTGAAGAGTCAGCAGACCTAGGGGAAGGGTACAAGAGAACCATTTGCTGGTAGAACTACTGATCAGTACAAATAGCACTTTGTCACTTTTCTTGTTGCAAACTGAGATCCTTCCTAGAGCTTAGCCACGTTTACCGGCTCACAGAGAAGTGTTAATCTACCTCCAATTTTCCTCTCTCTGACGCCTTGCTGCCTTTTTGGCTGGATGAACAGCCAGAACTTCAAGAAAAGGTTTTACATGCTTTGGTCAAACAGATTTCCCTTTTGCAGACAGTTGACAGGCATTGGAGAACTGGCTCTGAAATGATGGCAGGTGCGCTGTGTGGCCACCTACATGTTCTTGTCTCAAGTTTTCTGCTGGTTTTGAACTGGGGGGGGGGGGGGTGCACACTGTTCTGTATTCATTGGGTTATGGAAGCTATGATACTTGAGGGTAAGTACTGTATTTTTGTCTCATTTCTTAACACAAGGACTGATTTCTGCACAGTTCCCAAGTTTAATTTGTTCAATCACAGCTGTTGTTTGAAGCAAACCATCAGGGCTCTGCTGTGTTCTGGATGGACAACACCGTACACCAGTGCTGCTGACCCCAGCTGAGAGCTCAGCCTTTTATTTTTGTAAAAAAAGAAAACAACTTTACTGTGGAACAGCATTGTGAGCTCCCCATCCAAAGGAGCCACATACGGAAAACCTTTCAGCTAAGGTAGTGCTTCTGGAAATAAAGTTTACTTTCATTAATACTGCTGTTTATCAAGTCCCTCAGGGCATATCATGTTCACATTTGTTGGGCCTTTGCTTCATTTTATGTCAGTGAAATTTTAATTACAGACCTATGTTTTGCTGATTGCTTTTTCTTTCTAAGGGAGTGGTGGTAGGCAGCTGTGTGGCACATAGGACATATCCTGGTCATCAGCACAGCCTGGTTTAAACTCTCATGTTCTTAAGTCACCTCTTGTCTTCTGATACCTGTATGTGAATCCCTTCACTTACTGGCATTTGCAATACTTGATTGTAACAGTGGACCCTTCTAAGGCTTCCCTGCAAGTTGTAATTTTTTAACTTCCCTTTGACTTTGTGATGTAACACATCTATACCTTAAGACATCAGGAATTATCAGTATCTTAATAGGGTACCAGCAAATTCTGCTGAACTGGCCAGAAGTCAGTGGTATTTTCCCCTATAGGCAAAGCAGTTCCACCCAGAACTCCCATAAGTACATGGGTGCTATACAGCCTCCAATTCATACCAGACAGAGTAGCTGTTAACAGCTACAGAGCCTTATATGTTGTGCAATGGGTGTCCAACTGTATCTGACTATTCAGCCTTGGACGTGTTTTCTTTCCACATCTTTGAACAAAGTATGTAATGTGCTTCATGTCTTAGTGGAAGCCTTTGGTGTTATTTCTTCCTCAACCCTTAAATCTTAAGGATCTTGTCACCGCCAGTCCTGCATCACAAGCGAGTCTGCAGTGATTCTGGAAGTGCAAATGTTCTTCATTGAACCAGTCCAATTCTAGAGAGTTGTTTTTAATTTGTACAAGAACATATTGATTTACTCTTGATGGTGTTTCTCCTCAAAACTTGGTAAGATACTTTCTCTAAAAACAAGTCTATTCTTTTTGGGTAGCTCTGCTGTTGGTATTTTTCCCCTTTATGCATAACTTTTGTATACTTTTGTGGTTCTTTTGTATACAAGTGCACATCTAACTTGGCTGGTTTTGCAAAGTTGAAGCTACTCTTTAAAACTTTCTTACTTGAAGGACTTTTGCTATCGGTTTGTTACTTCTAAGCCTGAGATTGTTTTCACATTGTATCATGTACATTTATGTTATTATTTACACCTATCACAATACACATAGTCACACACCAGCTACTGACAGCTAATATTAAATTCTACAGTTTTAATCTGCATAGAGACCAGAAATGCATTAAATGGAGAAACACACAAGTCTTTCTGTATTGCCCTTAATTTTCAACCTATTTTGTGTAGAATATGGTCATCTTCATACCACAAGTGTCTGCTTCTGTATTTTTATATTTGTCTTGTGGCCAATTTGTATTGGGTAGCTAATGTCTCCCCACACTTAATAGCTTCTATTTCTCATGGTCATTAATTATGCAATTAATAGTTGGTTTTAAGCTAATAGTTAAATGTTGGTTCTGTGTTGGTGTGTTCAGCTCTTCTCCCAGCAGCCCATCACTGGCAGGTAATCTCATAATGCATACAACTTTAGTAGGCAAAAAATTTTGCAATTACCCCTCTGACTCTGTGAAGTGAAGAGCTGTGAGAGAAATAAGACAGCTGGAATAATCCTTTACATACCAATCACTGTAGCTGTGCTTTCTAGAGCTTTACCAAGACTTACTTTTCCCAGTGAAAGCATATTTTGAGTAACTCAGAAATCAGAGGGTATAAGATCTATATCTGCTTGCAGCATTCTTGTTACTGACATTTAGTTTTGAGAAACAATTCAAAGTGAAACTTCACAGCAAAGTAGTTAACTTACAAGCTAATGTGATGATGATTTTGCATGTAACATCAGTTACCCTAAAATTGTTTAATTTAATCTATCAGTTGTCTTACATACTGCAGTGCTATCTGTGGCTCTTATTTTAAAAAGTAGCCAAAACAGAATATTCCAGCAAATGTTTGAGTGTTGTTTGTGAGAGGAGGAAGGTATACAACAAATTCTTATGAAGTGACCTACTAAAATTGCTTTTTTACACATTACTTGATGAAACTTCTTTCACTTTTATCACAGGGATATTTTTGTTAACAGTATTACAGATCTCTTCTGGTCACTGGACAGCCACTATATGGATTTCTTGCTTTTTTAGGCATGCGTGTTGAGTGATCCATGCAACAGTGAAGAACCTGCCATTGTACATTCCATGTGTTACAGCTGCACCACAGTTGATCTTCGTTCATTTAGTGGGATGCTGTTAGATGCCTCTACCCTACAGTTTCCTTCAGTGAAAACATCTGAAAAGACAACAAACATGGTAGAGAGCCCAGAGCTACATGATGCTGCATTGTGTGGCTCCACAGCAATCTTTAATGATGGCCAATCCTGCCTTGGCAATGGCGGGCTTGCTTGGAGGAGGTTCTGCCTTCTTTTCTGTTGGGCTGCCTGCAGTGTTCAAGACAGGACACTGTTACAATCAAGCTGTTCCTTCCTGCTTCTGGTTTAAAGTATATAACTAATTATTCTCCCCATCTACCTCCAAACCTTTTAAATTTGTTTCAGTGATAATATTCAAGATGCCTTATCCATTTTGAGGAAGGAACTAGGAAGGGTTAAAGAATCCAGACTTCCCTAAGGGTAAGCTGCTTGCATCTTGTTCAGTCCAGGTACTCATTCACAGATGCATGGTCAGATAAAAGGTCCTCCCACAGAGAATCACTTACTGTACTGAGCATCTCTAAACACAGAGCTGAAGAATAAGAATCTTAGTAAAGTTTATTCTCTTAAACTTGGATGCTCTACCTACAAGAACAAGAAAAAGGCAGGCTTTCATTTTTTGGGGGGTTGAAAAGAACTACAACACTAACGTTGTATTTAATAAACACAAAATAAACTAACAATGAAGGTAAGTCATGCTAAAAGGATAAAAATTAGTGATGGATCTTGAAAATGTTTCTGCAAACCTCACACTTCAGTCATTGCATGTTTTCCTGAATGTTCTATAGCAAGCTGTTGATCTATGCAAAGTGGTGGTGTTTGGGTACTAACCTCTTCAGCTTGGGACTGAATTTACCATCCATGGACACTGTTCTCACTTAACCATTTCCATGTCTGATAGGTGAAAATCAATCTAGTAATTCCTTTTAAAATTCCTGCTGTGACAATTCTGTGTGAAAATTGGAACTAAAAGCTTCCCAGGGATCAGGAAATGTGTGTATTTGTAGTACTATCTGTAATCAATTTGGATGAGTTGACAAGTTTATTTTTGGTGGTAAGATGCAGGAGACTTGGGGCAGCTGTGGAAGTTAAAAAATATATATATATATATATATATATATTTGCAATTATACATCTTGCCAGCTGTAAACTAGACAGTCTTGACTTCAGATACCCAGCATATTGCTTATGAGGGTTTTCCAGACTTCTTTGTGAAACTAGAAGGGAAAATAATTGGAGGCAAAAAATAACACCAACAACCAGTTGCTTACAAAAGCAGGTTGTGGTAATATACCAATATAGTTTGCATATTTAAAATGTTAAAAAACCATCTGAAGTGGTTGTATGTGGATTCAGTTTTAAGGGGTAACTGGGCATCCAGATTCTAAGTGGCTGTAGTCTAGATTTGGCAGTGGTTGGCCCAACATCCATTGATACACCCTTATATCCAGTTGTCCTTGAGATTATTCCTATTATTTTTCTTAATGTTCAGGAACTCACTGGTAAGAGACTGTGTTGCTTTGTCTAAGGGTTTTAACTTGGTGCGGAGGAATTCAGCCATCTCCTTGTCTTCTTCTTTCTCCCTGAAAAAAAGAAGTATGTTAGACTACTCTTTGTTGGCCAACAGGACAGTAAAAGGCATAACAGCTATGATCAAATCACTACTAAATGAGGGGCTTTCTTCTCATCAAAAACTTTTTTTTTTTTTTTTGCTGCTTATTAAAGCACAGTAGTTGCCTACATGAAAACATGTATGAGTCTCTTCTTGAATTCAAAGAAACTTTTCCCCAAAGCTCTTTACAAACAGTGCTGGATTTGCTATATTCTCTGAGCAGAGGATTTAAACCATAAAGCATCATCAATTTTAAGATGGCCTCAAAGTCATTCACCATCCTTCCTCTACAAAATAAAGCAGAGGATATAAGCATGCTTAATTTAAACATCAACTTAAACAAAATGAGATCTTACATTCCACTGGCACAGTCTTCACCAAAACAAAGTATGTTTCTGTTTCCACGAAGGCCACAATATTATCTTGGGAACAAGATGATGTCACGGTCCTCGATAGCCTCTAATAAGGATGTTTTTGTTTTAGTTTCTCTTCTAGCTTATTTAAACACTAACAGTGGGAGCACTGTTGGAGTATTTCAGAGCAAAAGCAGACTTTATTGTCCAAAGCTTTAAAGCAAAGCATCAGTTATTACTGCAACTGTCAATCAATGCCAATGTAGCCACATCTGCACAGTGCATGGCACTATGCTTTCAGAAGCCTACAATTAGGCTTCTGTAGTGTCTGGCTGCTGCCAGCATTTGCAATTTGCACATAGAATCAGCTCTGGATTATGTTGTTAGCTCAGGCTTTTTGTCAGCCTGCTGCCTTTGGCCTGCTCTCTTTGATCAACTGCAGGACTGGCAAGCTTGCTTCCCCCTGGTCCTTTGCCTGCTTAGAATTGCAATGTGTTGGAGTAGATACTGTCATTCACACTAAATGGGCTGATGGAGCCTTGAATCATTACTGCAGAATTAAAGAGGGGGGGAAGAAACAGGGAAATCCTGACTATTTATGTGACGTTGGAACTCAGTGCAGCAGCTCAAAGTCAGCTGTATAAGAAGACTATGACTCTGGGCTGAGATTCCCAGCTCGCTTATCATTTAGGTTAGGTAAACCTAAATTAGCAATTGCCTTTCCTTTTTTTTTTTTTTTTTTAATGCTACAACAGGGAAGGAATAATGAGAGCAAACTTAGTACCAATGATAATAATTGAGGTGTCTGCACCACCAGTGATAAGATCCTCTGGCAGCAGTGACAATCCTTCCGTTTGTAATGGTAAATGCCCAGTCGTATTCTGATGAGAAAATGTCTAAACTCCTCTGTCATCATGGGATGTCAATTAGGACATTGCTGGCATGGAGAGCAGAAGTGCAGTAATTTAGGTTTTTGTTTTCCTTTTTCCACAGAATAAGGCAGAAGCTTTTAATTTGGTAATGGGTTTTAAAAGACCAATTTTCTCTTGGCAGTATAAATGTTGTCACTTATCCAGTGTAGAATTAGGCTAATGAAATCTTCAGCATGAATTTGGTTGCTTTTAGTTCTTACCGTAATCTCTCCACCTCTGCATCATCTACAAGAAAATCTCTTTTTTGCACCAGTCTATGAATCTTCTGAATCAGTTCATCTTCTCTTTGTTTCTCCATCTTTGTTTTTTCTTTTTCTGGTCAGAAATAGGGCAGGGAGAAAAAGGCTGTTACTTCAGATTCCAGGAAGCTGGGCAGGGGAACTGCAGCTGTCTAAGAATGTTTTGGTGATGGAAGTCCGTGACTGCAGAACCATGCAGTTCTGTCTGCTGCCTCCTTTCTTCTTACCATCTCTTGTTTTTGTTCAGTTAGTGCACTATGGTCTTTGTGAAAGGCTTGTCAAGGCTATTACTTCTAATGCTAAATTACTCTATAAGGTGCTACTCTGCTGTTTTGCTATCTTTTTAAAGAAGTGTTTTGGCTTTAAAACAAAGAACCAAGAACTGAAAATCCCCAATGCCTCCAGTAACAGGGAAAAAAAAAAAAAAGGTCCATTTTTCTTCATTAAGATACACCAGCTCCTCTTAATCTCAGGGAAAATGGGAACACTCCAAAAGGAACAATTTCTCTCTATTTCATGACAGACAGAACCATCGTAAAATAAAATCTGGTAACAAGGCATCTTCTCTTTACGCTGCTGATAATAGGAGCTACTTTCCACTTCTTTCCATCTGCCCTCTTCATGGACTGTGAAACTGCTCTCCCATCCCCTCCTCTCCTTAGAAAACCAGCTGCCAAATGCCTGAAATGCGTGCATCCTGTATTGTGGCACAGTACCATAAACTCAAAGCCTCACACTGACTGCATTGGCTAACTCAGCCCACTGAAACCAAAGAGCAGGGCCCTGTGCGGATCTGTAGTGCAAGGAAAATTCTGATTCATGGTGCTATGAATGAACCCATTTCCAGAAGTGCTTTCTCTAGGTTAGCTACGTGCTATGTAAGAACTCTGTTTTGTGGCAATGCCAGCACAGCCTTTGTGAAGGTGAAAGTGTTCTTGCCAAAAGGTGGTGCTGCTGGAACTGCTCAGATGTAAATTCTGAACTTTTGCTGATATCTGCGTAGTGCTGAGGAGAAACTGTTGTCTGTTGATTTCTGCTTAACGCTTTGTGACTGGAAAATAGTTTCAAAAAGGTTATTGGGAAAAACAAACAGACTATCGCATCGAAAACCCTCAAACTGATTAACCCTAGGAGTTAGGCAGAAGATAAAGGGGTTGAGAAAATTGCAGTCCGGAAGAGGTGAGGCAAGGGTATTCATGCATAGCTATTTTTCATCACTCATAATCCTTTCCCACCTCGTTTGAAAACCAACAACATACCAACAGCGTTGCTACAAATCCAGTGTGACCTCTAAGTCACTAAGAAGTGTAAAGAAGGGGAATACAAGCAACATGGTGAACATACTTTGAGAGCAGAGAAAAGTGGAAGTTCTTATCTAAATGAGAATACATGGGCTCAGAGAGAGAAAAATGGACCTCTTTTTTATTTCATGATTGACCTGTTCTCTCCTTCCAGGGGAGAATACTGTTTAAAGCTGCACAATAAAATGTAGGGGGAGGAGGTGAGCATAACGAAAGGAGTGTGAAAACCAGTCCTTCGCAGTGAGGAGGCAACAGATTACATCTGAGAGGTGCTAAAAATGTGGAGTGTAATGTAGATAGCCTGGTGAAGCCTCCCAGTGTTTTCAAAATCTATCTGCAAAACAAGCAGAGCAGGACTGTTGTGGATGATCTAAAACAGCAAAGCTGTAGCAAAGCACAACTTCTCATTGATTTCAGCTGGAGTTTGAATGTGAGGATTGTAAAACTGCACACAACTCCAGTCCTTCCCTGAGCAATGTATTTGCAGTAAATTTAAGGCAGAATGCAAAGCATGCTTTTGCCTCTTGCTTTTTGTATAAACCTGTTTCTTTTTACTCTGGAAGGCAGATTTAACAACAGATGTGACAATGAATTGGTATATCTAGGAAAAAATCTCTCATTCACAGTAATGGTTTTAAGACCTCCATTCTTCCTGTTATCTCAGCCCTCTGTCTTTTCTGCTTGACCATCTCTGTGCTGGTTGGTTCCCTTGAGATTCCCAAGGGAGTGCAAGAGCAAGGGAACATGCACCTTATTTGAGTGTTATCTGCAGGTTTGCCATCAAGGGAGCAGTGAAATACAGCATGAAAACAACTGTGGACGCCAGAAGATTAAAGATGAGAAGGAAAAGAGAAATAAAAATAAGGACCAGACGAAGAAGGAAATACATGAAGACAGACTATACAAAACAGCCCTGGGTGGAGGTTTCTGAGGGAGGTCTGCACTAAGAGCAGAGGTGTGCTCCTGAAACCATCTCCTGCATTGCCCAGGCATTATCCTGATACTGACTTAGAGACAGCCATTACCTGGGATAGCTACCAAGCTCTGCAGCTCCTTCTTAAGGTTCATAATGTCTTTGCACAGCTGAATGTCATCCATCCTGCAGAAAGAGAAAAAGCACAGTCAGAGACATGCAAATCCCATCCCCTGTTGACAGAACCAGATGGATCTCATATGAGTATGTGGTACTGTTCCTTTCCTGGGACGTGTACCACATTGAAGGGCTGGGTTTTAACCTGGGGATTCTTACGCAGTTCATTCACCAGCTGTAACAGATATGGACTATAGTACAGCTTTTGCTGTTGAGCCTTTGGTTACTTGTCTTACTGATTTGTATGGAGGTCCAACTTGTCACTGCAGATTATTTTAGTTGTATCTTGAATCAAACTTTACAGAGCAGGTATCTCTATATATTTAATAGTTATGGAAAACATTGGTGTGCTATGGTGCATGCACTGCAGCAACAATTTTCATTGGGAAAATGGCAAGAGGGAGAGCAGCAGTGGTCGTGGAAAGGGGCAGCAGAAGCTGGTGTGGTATTTGGCACAGCCAGAATGAGCTTTACCTTCTACTACTAATTTTCTTTGTGACCTTACTAACTTAGTCCTGAAGTTAGCAAGGTTCAGCACTGTCTTTCTAGCAAGAGGTGTATTTTACTGCTTGAGTCACACGGGCAGCCAAGGCTCATGTACTTGTTCTGAGGGCTGCATCATGGGGTTCCATTGGAAATCACACCATAAAGAGCACAAAAAGAGCCCATTTAATTAACTGTACATGTTTCAACTCAGCTGTCACTGATATTATCCTTGTCTGCCCGGATCTGTGAATCACTCTTCTATAATTCTGTGCCTGAAGGGTGGTTTGCCTGTTGCCTGAGCACCCAAAGGAAGCTGAAGTTCTATCAGAGCTTGGGTTGTCACAATGCTATTCCAAGATAGGAAACCCGAGGTATTAGAGCATGCGAGTAAGAGTGCGCGAGTGCACAAAGGACAGTGCAGTCAAATTACAGAATTAAGTGAAAAGTGGAAGAAGTAGGTGTGTCTGACACGAATCAGATTTTAATCACAACCTAAGAACTTTTATTCTCCCTGCCTCCCCTGCACGGAATGCAGGTCTCCATGGGGAGCCGGCCCTCAGATGCTTTGCTCATGTTAGTAGATTGTGCTGATCCTTGTCTTACTTGCTGCTTTGATCAACTCCATTTTGCCAGTTCCCTTCCATTCATTGTGCTATGACACCTGTTTCTAGTATCTTTTTTACTTCTCTCTTCCCCAGATGTCACAGTGAAATACCTCTCATAAAATTCTTTATTGCTAACCTCCTGATTTAGGGGCTTGGGCACTGTTCTGGACTTCCAGAAGTCACTGAGATAATAAAAGTTTAATTGTCTCTCAAGGCATTGCACTCCTGCTATGCACCTGACTTACAAGGCTTGCTGTTATTGGCAAGATCAGCATGTTATCCTCAAGGCTAGCCCATGGTTCACTGCCATGTATGTTCAGCACACCTGGCAGCAGAGACCTTAATACAAAGGATTTTTCTTACTTGGACTCCTCATATTCATACTGATCACGAGCAAAGCCTGTTTTACTTTTGAGATCCATCATGCTAAATGGTACTGAAATGACTCCTATCAATTAACAATCTTAAACACTGTCCCCTCACAGAATCAGTATTCAAACTGTGCTGGGATGTGAGCAAGCCACGCAGCTGCTTATTCATTCAATGTTCATGCCATTTGGGTGTCATTTTAATATAATGAGTGTTAATATATTTGAAGAAAATGGCCGTGATTAACAGAAAGAAGTTTTTGGCAAGAAACATTCACTGCTGAACTGCTGTATTCAAATAGCTGAGGGTCAGACCCTCAACTAGTGAAGAGAACAGTGAGTTTCTACTTTTTTCCTTTGAGGAAGATTGGGCCCCATTCTGGAAAGATCTGAAAGATGCTATTACTTCACTGCCTCAGTTTGGCTCTCTGCCTTCTCAAGAAACTCCAAAAGCTAATGCCATTGCATTAAAATACCACTGGTAGTATGTTCCAAGTGAGCAAAATCATCTACGTCTGGGAGTCCCTGTGGAGTCCCTGTGCTCCATATTACCTATTGGTGGGAAAAGTACAGGCTTTATACCCTTTCAGCAACTGTAGATGCAATTGCCTCCACTATTCTAGGTTTCTTTTTTTCTTTTCCACCTGACTGCAGAGCATACGTTTTGCACTCTCCATATGCATTCTTTGCATTTCGTTCTCCTGTCTCATAACTCACAGGAGAGAAGTGAAAATGTGGCCAAGCACCTCAGGGCTGCAGCAGCTCTGTGACAACCTGCATTCCAAAAGTCACGCTCCAGGTGACTTCTCCAGAGTCCCAGTTCCATAGACCAGTGCATTCTGATGATGGCCAAAGATTCAATTGACCATCTGTACCAATCCCTTAGGCACACAGAACATCTTTCCTCCCATCTGTGTCAAACAGCCTTTGTGTTTCTCATCCACTCCATGGTGCCCATTAGGAAAAAAATCAAATTAAAAGGAAAAAAAAAAAAAAAAGATATGGTTAAATTACTAAAGGAGGGATATGGGATATATTCATCCCATCTGACTTAATGAAAGCAGAAAGAATAGCTGTTTTTCACTAAAAAACATTCCTAGCAATTAACACTGTATGTAGGGCAGCAACCGATGTTGTGGGCAAGGTCCACCTCACTGCTCTCAAAGAAAAGGGAAAAGAACAAGGTCTCATGGGGAAGAAAGCTCTTTGAAGGCTGTTTAATCCAGACTGTTAGATGAACCTCCTTCTCTTTTCCCCTTTGTGCTCTGGTTCTTGTGCTGGACAGTCAGGGTTTGATGGAGAGCATATCGGTAGCACTGTCAGACCTCTCAAGGAAGTATAAAAAGAGCTCTGGCAATCTTAAAGAGAGCAGGAATACACGTAGCACAGAGAAATAAACCCTTTGGGTCCCTCAACCTTTTACAGAGAAGTGCTGAGACGTGCTGAGACTATTCTGTAGCACTTGATGTTCCATGCTGTAAGTGCGATCCGTCAGATTGCAAGATGGACAGGAGGAAAAGCTGCACAGACTACTGTCCAGCTTATTTAAGAGCACTGCTATGCTCCCTGTGCACCCAGTGCTCTTCTCGAAGGAGAGCAACACAAGCAGGCTGCTGTTCTGTGCTGAATGCAGAAGGATCCCTATAGAGTAGCCCAGGGTACTGAAATGATATCTTTCAGCTCTGCTTACGCAATCTCCAAAGACATATGCATAAAATTTGCTATATCAACACAACCTTTGCTGAACTCTCTGTCCTCTGGATTTTGCAGTCCCTGCAAAATCATCTTTGATGTCATAGAAAAAGCACCAGTAAACCAAACAGCGGTTACAATATGTCTGTTTCCCCCCAAGGCTAAACTTTAAATGTCTGCCCAGCAATTCTGAATATGTGAGTTATGAGGATGATAAAACATTTCTCTTATTAAGAGCCCAGATCCATTCCTGGAGAAACTGAAATAGCATTGAACTAGGGATGGACTTTCCTGACACACAGTATGTAATTCTGCACTTCTGGATTTTGATGGCTTATTGCAAGAAACCTTCTGTATGCTTGGAGATATACCACAGAAGCTTGTATTACTTTCTTTCTTGGTATTCAAACTGTTTTATCAAAACCTAAAAGCAGATTCTTTTGTTTGCCCCTAAAAATGAAAAAATAGCTCAAAATGAATGAACAGCATGAGCAAAGGATTTTCTAAACATGTCACAAAACGACAGGAAAATAAATGGGTCGGAAGAGTCTTCAGTAATCGGGCATGGTGACTCAACCCTGATACATGCTTCTTTGGTGCAATTACCAGCAGCAGAATGCTGCAGGCACTGTCCTTCCCATAAGATCCACAAGTGAGGTGACAGCGTGAGTCACCTCTGTCATCCACCATCTGGACGAGGGGGTGCAGGGCAAAGAAATAAAGGAGACCTCCCGTTCAGCTGTGCCCTGAAGGGTCTCTGAGGCTATAGAAGACAATGGCAGACAGAGAGGAACTAAAAACAAAATATTCTGTACTGAAAATGGAAGGAGTATTTTGTTTTGTTTCAATAAAAATTGTTCCATGACAGTTCTTCTTTCCATCTGGGGAAAACCTGACTCCCTATTATAAAACCCAGTAGCTAGCTATAGCTGTGCTTTCTTCAAGAAATGAAGAAAAAAAGGCAAAAATGATAGTAAAAGGCAATAGGAAAACCAGTAAATGCTCACTGTAATGGTCTGACAAAGAAAAAGAGAGCCAACAAGCTTGTCAAATGTTTAAGATTTGTGGGTTAGAACTATGTAGATCGCTCTGAAAGTAATACCTCCTATTTATTTCCATGGAAACCACAACAGATGCAAAGAGCACGATAACATTATTGGATAGAGCAAATTCTCAGCTACCAAACACTATTTTGCAACACACTCACCACCATTACCTGTGCATTTTTGCCAGCAATGAACAAGAGCTGCATGCCATGCTCATAAATCTGCACCAGCAGAGGTGACCAGCTGTCACTGTCACTACTGCTGAAACACACCACCAGTGCCTCACTGTGCAAACAGACACTGTTCAGTCTCCATCAATGTTCAGCAAGTGCCCATGAATGTCAGCGGTGCCATGTTTTCCAAATGGAAGAAAACCCCTTTGCTTTATACACACTTCCATGTCTGACACCACTCTGTCAGAATGCTCCTCTGCTGCCATCTGTCACACGGCAACAAAATATCATGGGATATTGGTGGGAAGGTTCGGTTTCCACTGTCATTCCACCAACATCCGCCTCGTGACATCATGGGTCAACATAATAAAACAGGAGGCATTACTTTTGGAGCAGCCCTCAGCATATGGGATTATCACCTTATTACTGAGCTCAGCATCTTGTGTTTCTCAGGCTGGAAGACACAAAGCTGGCAAGTCAGATAACAGATTGCTGACCAGCCTGCTTCACACATCAGGTTACAAATCAAAATCCTATGATTACCTTTAACTATTAAATTAAGCAAGCCTGACTTTTCTTGCTAAAAGCACTCTTCAGTGGAAGAGTGGTGGATAAAAGCACTGGACTGCAACGTTGTAA